AGAAAGAGCTCTCAATCTGTCAATCCTTATTTTGTCTGGACCTGGTGAGTTTCCCCGTGTTGAGTCAAATTAAGCCGCAGGCTCCACGCCTGGTGGTGCCCTTCCGTCAATTTCTTTAAGTTTCAGCCTTGCGACCATACTCCCCCCAGAACCCAAAAACTTTGATTTCTCGTAAGGTGCCGAACGGGTCATAATAGAAACACCGTCCGATCCCTAGTCGGCATGGTTTTTTGAAGTCACGCTGGAGAGTGGTCGTGAGAATAAACTTAGTGGGGATGATCGGTCAGACCCACACCCCACAGCCTTAATCCAACAGCCCCCCTTTCTTTTCCAGGATCAGCGCCGGCGAGACCCAGAGAGCGTAACTGGGCCCTGAGCTCGAATGGACTGTGTACGCGGCCGAGTTGAAAGGTGTCAAGATGGCCCTGTTCACCTCTCTTGCGGGGGACACCCTGCTGAGCTGCACCCCTGGCGGACAAATACAGGTTTTCACTGACAGCGAGGCTGTAATTCATGCAGCTGGTGTCCCCGGGCGTCCTTTCCCGACAGCTGTATTTGAGGGCCACCTATGACCGATACAAAGCTCTCCAAGATGAAAACTCTGTTGGTCTTGTGATTGACTGGATCGCTGCGCCCGTAGGGGTGGAAGAGAGCGAGGTTGCAGACTTTTACGGCGAAGCGGGCTGCGAGATGTCGAACCGGGCCAGGAGAACAGATTCTCCGCCTGGTTTCAGCTGCCAAAAGGACCGTTCGCAAGAAATTCCAGGGGCAGTGTGAGACCCGGCCATTCCATGCCTTAGGACGTGACTATTCGATACACATAACGTGATCTCATCAGGCGTCGACCACTGCGTATGGCAACAGCCGGAGGATATTCATGAGATGTTATTTGCCGGAAAGTTCACAAGTAAAATGCTGACGGTCGTACAGGACTCGCCGAACGAAGAGCAGGAAGTTAGATGGAGGTATGGGAAAGAAAACAGTTTCTTAACGAGCTCGCAGTCACCCCCAGAAATATATATATACTGACGCGACCCCTGGACATTCCACCGCGAGCGGGCGATCGAAACATGCGCACGGATTGAGGCGCGACGGGGGCTCACTCTCTACACAGACGGGAGTGGATACAGAGGCCATGTGGGAGCGGCGGTTATCACGCCCAAAGAGAATGGGACCCGGATGAAGATCCCCCAATATATGGGCCCGGAGACCATCAGCAACGTGTATTCAGCGGAACTCCGGGGCCTACAACTGGCCACCACGTGGAATAGGGTCCTAGGGGTGGACAGGGCCAGGAAGGAAGGAGAGGTGCACGTATTCATTGACAGTCAGGCTGCACTGAAGGCCATGAACGCAGGGGAACAGGGGGACGAAGCGAGGTGTAGCTTTTCGGTAAGCTTTTCGAACACGTGATGTCTTGGCAACGACGTCAGGGCCCGAGGCGAGTGGCGCAGGGTCAACACCATGTTTTGTGTTATTTTTACATTTTGTATGGACATGAATAGCCTCCCTAGGAGCCTAGGGAACACCTGCACAGCATGGCCACTAGTACGGCCAGCTATATCAGGTCAATGAATACTACTACTACTGCTACTACTACCCTTGACATTCCAATAGATAGTTCCCCTTTTGTTCTTCGAATACGCAAGTCTTAGTGAATATTAGTACCCACATTCCTTGTCGTGACAAAGTTGTGAAAGGAGATCACGTGATCTCGGACCTAGCCACCTAGTCATCTCCTCGCGTAGTTAGCTAGCTAGCCTACACACACAATATCATCCATATTGCTCTCACAAAAGTCACGCTACCAAATGCGCATGCGTATGTGATTATGAAGATGCCCACACAGAGAATCGGCATAGCCCGCTTTCTATATAAGATCAAGGCGCAAGAGAGTGACCGCTGCAGCTGCAGGGAGAGATCCCCCTGCCCCCAAGCACGTTCTGCTGGCATGCTCCCGCTTTGCAAGCCTACGCAATTAGGTGTCTGATAAGATCCCCGCACGCACGGATCTTGGGGCTACTATTCACTATGACTCGCTCATATCATACCCGCAGGCGATCCGCTACATCGCCGAATTCATGCTGCAAACACAGTTCAGCTAGGTCGAACTCGATCCTGACCCTGAACAGGCAATGCCGGACCCGCGCTAGAAACACGTAGGCCTCAGGGCCATGGGGATACACGCTGAAGATGCTGGGTAAAAGGAACGGCACACGCCCTGTTTGAGTCAGCAGGGAAGGTCAAACGAGCAGAAGGAACAGGCATGTTGGGAGCAAGGTAATGAACGAAGAACGGGGAGAATGGGCTCGCGGGCAGCCGGCCGGCTGCGACACTCGTTTATATTTACCTTGTGTGACTACGCTTTTGCTACTGGCTTTTGATGTTTGGTTGTGTCTGGCTACGACAACGAGTTTCCTACGTCGTCGATTGCGTTGATGTCATGTGTTTAATGCGAGCTAGAGGGCTCCGAAGGCGTTCGGGGCCATATTCTTGCTTCAGAAGGTGAAGCACCTTCATACCTGGCATCTAACTTAGGCGGCTCGATCGGGTATAAGAATACTAATAGAAATGAATTGAATTGAAGGTCATAGTTCTACAGAAGGTAACCCTCGCTCCGCACACCCCTCGTCAACGCTCGCCCGCAGACTTCTTATCGCAGCTTCCCACGCCATTGCAGTCTGTGAACTGCTACCCGTTCGGCCACTTGGGTCTGGCGTCTTGAATGCATCCGACTCCTCCGCATCCTGCTTGTCATCGACCAGCCACGCTAGCCAGGAAAGAACAGACGTCGCCTTGTCTAAATCCTTCTCATCCACAATGACACTTTTAAGATATCTTCCAACGGAGAGCACGTCTTCCTCAAAGGGACCCTCGCTGCTGAACGCCTCGTGCCACGAACTCATCGCATCTCGCAGGTCAGATAAGTTCGTGAGCCTCTGTGAGGTAAAAGTGGGTCGGTCTGGTAATGGGGGTAGGACGAGCCGTTTCTCTGGTATTGCAGGCGGATCTGTAGCCGGAACTGTAGTCGAATCTGAGGTCATGGGTGAAGCAGCTCGCGGCACCGAGGCGGGGTTGAGGGCTGGTCGCTGTAGGATTTTTGTTCGTTGTTGCTCCTGGAGCACCTCGCGGCGTATGTCCTCCGGGAGCGCGGCGAGAAAGTCAACCGAGGCATCCGTCTGCTCGGGTGGAGGAGAGTGACGTTCGGCGGGAGCTAAAGATGAAGCCGTGGCTCTGGGAATGACGAACCGAGCCTGTGTGAAGGCCGGGTTGCCGACTGACTTGGTGCTAGGCCGCCCTCGTCGTTTCTTCGGGGGACTGGTGGGCTTCCGCATCATAAGACCGCCGGCAGAGGAGGGCCGAGACGGCAGCAAGGGAGCAGCTGAAGGTGGTGTGGGTTGCGGGCCGGGACTTACGGATGGCCGGCTGTAGTAGCCTAATATCTCGGCGCGCACATCCTCTGGCAAGGCAGCTAAGGCCTCTGGGTCGAGCTCTGACTGGGGAGGAAGTTCTGCAGTGCGACCTGTAGGACATGGTGACTCGGAGCGTGACTCCTCTCGAGGTCTACCCTGAGCGATGAGGCGAGAACGGATATCGTTCGGCAGCTCAGCAACGACTTTGGGGTCAGTCTGTGAGGGCAAAATGAACTGAGTTCCCGAAACATTGAGCAGCCGGCTACTCTCACTGAATAAAGGGACGGGCTTCACCGACTCTGTCTCCCCTTTCCGAGGGCTGTCTAGAATATCAGGATCGTGACGTTCAATGCTTTTGCTGACCGGAGATGCTTTGAAATTGAGCTGTCGTTGGCCAGACTTTGATGGAGAGCCCGCCTGGAGATGCTGGAGTTTAGTCATCTGAACACCCAGCCCTCTCAAGTCGCCGGGTGATAAATTCATGCTTCGTAACATGGCAACTGCCTCTTTGCCCAGAATATCGGCAGCATCCGTGGCCACGCCGAGGACGACACTTTTGTTGAATACATCGCACTTGCCATGGCCCAGATGTTTCACTGGTTCTAACGGCGCGTCGAGTGCTCTGCGCATGACCTTGAGAGTCAATTGTTGGCCTTTTACAAGATTTTCGACCAGTCTGCGATGCAGTTCCTGGCACAAAGACCGCGCGAAGTCCTCGGCTTGGGTCTGATTCACGAAGCGAATACCCCAATTGACTTCGGCAGATACCGACTTCCTCAGAACTTCGTTTCCGACTTCAGTTCGATCGATACCGCGGGCATATTCCCAGATCTTGATTCCAGTTTTAGGTCCAAGGCTCGTCGTGAGTCTATCGCGGGTGAGTTCTCGAACATCTTTGACAATTTTGACTCCCAAATCCTCTAGCTTTGTACCCAGGCTATGGCCCACTCCGGGAAGATCTTGAACTGTCAAATTACCGATGTAATCAAGAACAGCATCGGGTTTGAGCTGAAATTGACCTGCCGGCTTCGCTTTTCGTAAGGCAATCTTAGCCAAAAGAATGTTGCCTCCAATACCCACGGAAACAGCGCAGCCCGTCTCTTTCTTTACAGTGGCTCGTAAGTCGTCGGCTACCTCATCCGCCCTTGCCTGTTCCCTATAGAGTGAACCCTCCGAGATGCCCCTACCATCCGAGCCACCAGCCTCCAGACATTGTGTAGTGATGTCCACCAGGGCCTCGTCAATGCTGACACTCTGCACGATACCATCCACCGAAAGAATGGCACTGTAGAACTTCCGACTGGCCTCTTCGTACGCTGGAAAATCATAAGGTACCACCTTTAACTCTGGGCAGGTTTGCAGCGCTCCCTTCATCCACATGCCGTTCTTGATGCCATGGGCTCGGGCTTCGTAGTTGCAACTCGCTATCTCTGAGCCCGAGCCAGTGCCGTGCGCCACCGCGACAGGCTTTCCCTGCAGCTCCGGGCGCTTCAAGGTTGACACGGCGGCAAAGAAGCAATCGAAATCTACATGCATGATATACCTCCGGGCCCCGGGGGCTGGCTTCTTGCGTTTGACCTGTGACAGCGATTTTTCTTTGGCTGCAGACTGCAACTGGGCTTTGAGATCGGCCTTCCATGTTGACAAATGATGTAGACGAGATTCGCTGTAGAACTGTTGGATGAATTGAGGATTTGCAACACTGGAATTCCTCATGTGTGGATCCGACAGCAACTGCGCATTGTATTCTTCGGAAGTCATTGCTGGTTTAGTTGGGAAGGATTCGCGCAACAGCGGCAGTGCTGCTGAAGGTGCCTCAGTTTGGTCATTTTCTTGTTTGTTTGAATGAGTATTGATATCCTCATCCTCCACTGATGATTGTTTATCCGGCGTTTCCGCTCGAACTTCTTCCCGCGGAGACGAAATGTTGGGAGTCCTGCTTACTCCATCCAAAGAGGCAAAACTTGGAAACTGGCTGTAGTCCGACTGGGACTCATTATGGGGCGATGGATCCTCTCTGTTAAGTATCTCTGAGCGTGTAGGTGGTGACCGTTGTACATCTGCGTTCTCAACAGACAGTGCAGCCTCTTGAAGCTGGTTTGTATACCAACTGGTATCAGTTTGCTCGCGATAGCCAGATCGCGGACTATTCATCTGACTGACCATACGGCCATCATCGAACCTGAGCACCTTCTGGGACTGACCCTCATCAACGACCCGAAACGAGTCCCATGGCAGCATGCGACCTGTCTTGACACTCTCGACGACCCATGCCGGCTTGACGATGCGATAGCGGCGAAACTCTTCGCGCTTCTTGGGGGTCAGGGCACTGGCAATGATGTGGGTAGCATCTGTTTTGCCGTTTAGATACTGTAGAAACCCCCCGCCATGGCTCACGATAAGGCGATGCAGGTCTTGTAGCGAGGGTTGGGTGTAGCCATTGACGTGCGCCACCACACCGCGGAAGATAGGCGGACAGTTTGCCGCAGAGGAGCGGATCTCGGCATCGCGATTCTGGAGTTTGATCTTCTTGCGGCGCATGTAATCGCTGAACCCACCAAAGGCGGATGCCTCGTACTCCTCGCCGGCCTCATTGTCGAAGTGGTGGTTCTGGATGCGCTTGCGCACCGCGCTGGAGTTCTCGTGCAGGCGCGAGCCCATGCTGGGCGCTATAACGGGCTAGTTCAACAGGCTGTGGGGGCGTTAGATAAATAGATAGTCGGGGGGAATTCAGTTGCTCTTCTGTAGGCGGTGAGTCCCGGACGTGACAGGAACGCCACACGTGAGCACGTGATGCGTTTGCTCGGACATTCTGGTCATGTGCCTATAGCCTCGGCATTCTAGATAGATTCTACTGACTGGATAAAAACGCAGACCAAACTCATGGGTAAAAATTGGCACTAGATTAATATGTGTAATTCAGATAATGTGAAGGCTTATTACCATAGCCCACATATATTGCTGCGTTACTGACTAGTCTTCAACCCACCTAACCCTACTGGATCACACTCTGGTTGCGATACAAGTCGCAGGTATGTGGGCGCTGCACACAGTACTTGGGAACCAAGGCCTTCGCCTGCACCCCATTAGCTACCAAGTATTCACGGAAGTTTAGGATTCGCTGCGTCATCAGCGTCGTGCGCTTCTGCCCATGCTCGTCCCGATTCCCAGACCATACCAGTTCTGCCAGGGCAGCGGCGCGCGGCCAGAACTGACTGGAGACAGTCATGTCATCTACTTGTTCTGACCAGAGCGGTGCCACTGCACCCACAATATGCTGCGCCTGGGCGTCAGTCAGATTTTGCGCAAAGTCATAGTCGTAGATACGCTGCCATGTCTTGTATGGTGCACACCATGAGCCCCCATTTCCGCCATAATTAAAGCTGGGTGTGTTTGGATCCGGATTACTCATGACATCGTAGCGGGGATCATTTGTCACAAAGCCACCCATTCCACAATCCAGATACATGAAGTCTGACGAGGATACAATCACATCATAACCCTTGGCCGTCAGCTGGTTAATATAATCCAGTCCGTTATTCCAGGTCTGCATCACAATATCCGTAGGAACACTATGCGCATGCTCTGTTGATAATACAATATCTTCCCACATAACCAATTGCCGTGAGTTACTATAATTCTGGAAGATCGGTACGGCATGATCTACCCAGTACTGGGCTAGATCATTATACGTACGTGTCGGATCCTCCGCGAACCACTGAGTAACATAACTGCTGAAGTTAAAGCAGTTAGGCTGAATCTCATCTGCTCCCACGTGGAACCAATTATCAGGAAAGATGCTTGAGAGCTCATTGTACACCTCTCGGACCACATCATATGTGCCGTTGTAGATGATGTCCATCTGTCCCGGTGGTGGTTCAACTGCAGTGTGCAGGGCGTAATCATCATTAGACCACCAAGAATCCACGCAGGTCACCATCTGGG